CTGCTGTTTAATTATCCCTCTTTCTATTGGAAAGGAACCTTGACAGTAGTTGTTCAGAAACATATTTGAAATTTTTATATTAAATTGGGTACAGTTTAATTGGACAAAATAAAATATTGTATATGTTCAATAAATAGTTTAAAAATTATGTGCCTGAAGAATGGAAAGTGGTTGTTGTTGGTAGAGATCTTTTAGAAAGCTTGAAGAGTCATCTCTTCCACTGCTGTATCAGAATCTTTGGGAAGGTCTGCTTGGGAATCTACATTTTGAGAAGCTCCTTAGGAGATTTTTATGCACACTGAAGTTTTAGACCCACTGCTGAATTCTCTACTGACAGCTTTAGGATATCGGCTTCTGCTCTTCTGATGGAAGCTACTCTTCCCCAGTTGGGGGAAGAACAGGGGTGAGCTGAGGCAGCTCTTCCTGATGCCCTGCCGTGCTCTGTGCTGGGAAATTTCCAAAGCTATCAGTGTTTTGAGTCCTCTTTCAACTGGCACTCCTGTGGTGAAGGAACATGTCATGTTAATGGTGATGCCCAACCCAGAGCCTTCATGTGTTTCCTAAAACATTCATACTTCCTAGCAGGGGAGGAAATTGCAGGTGAGGAAACATAAGAGAGTTTAAGTGGTCTTCTGGAGCCGGGACTGGAACTGAGGTTGATTTGATTTTAATGCCCAGACTCTTTTCTTTCTGTCTTTTTTTTTTTTTTTTCCGCGCCGAGCAGTTTGTGGGCTCTTAGTTCCCTAACGGGGACTCAACCTGGGCCCCGGCAGTAAAAGTACCATGTCCTAACCACTGAACCGCCAGGTAATTCACTACTTTTTTTTTTTGTTAAGCCCAGACTCTTTTTGATTTACAATATTACATAAACTTCAGGTGTACAGCGTACTGATTCACACTTTTTATAAAGCCCAGAGTCTTACACTATCCTTGCTACCCTCCTTTTAGTGGAAAGAACGATGGGTTGTCGGTTAAGGTAGCCTTGGGTTGGAAGGATGCCTCTATCATTTACTGGCTTCACTAGCGACTTTACACATCCCCAAATTCAGTGTCCTCATCTGAAAAGCAGGCATGAAGATTGTAAAATTCTAAGGTTATTGTGAGGATTAATCGACCACATTTTTAGAGTGCTTCAGCGTATTTTTATAGTTCTGTCCCAGAGTAGGCATTCTAATAAATGATGACTATTATTTCATAACTTAAGGTAAGGTGAGTGTGCCTTATGGAATGAACCAATTTTAGGCTAAATGAGTTTGTCAGATTATGAAATGTATGTTTTCCTATTCTGATGTGGTGTGATAACTAGAAACAAGGAAGGTGCCGGATGTGTGAAGGGGTTTTCTTGTGGGAAAACAGTGTAGACCTCTATTTTTTATCTAGTACCCATATCCTGGTAAATTCTAAATTTGATTCTAGCCCAGACCCTTCCTATAGCTCCAGACTCTAGTAGTAGCTCCAGATGTTTCTGTTGAAATGCCCACAGGATGTTTCCATCAGTTAACCCCTTAACATGTCCAAGTCTAAACTCGGGCTCTTCCTTCCAACACCTGCACCCTTCTGTTAGGGTTCCCTACATCAGTGAGTGGAATTGCTCTCCATCTGCATCCTCCACGAAATCTAATCTTTCATCAGAGTCTGCTGATTGTTATCCCCTGTGTCTCTGCCTTCTCATCTTTGTCTTCCCCACCATCACCTTAGTCTACGCTACTGGCACCTCACACTCAACTCCTCCCCTGCATTTCTCTTGCCCCCTCCATGATTCTGCCACATTGGATATTTTTTCAACATACAATTGGTTGTCATACCTTATTTAAAACCCTTCAGGAATTTTGCCTTATTCACTTACTCTGCCTTTTTTGTTTCACGTACATTCCCTCTTTAGCTGTGGCTGGCCTCTTTGCTTCTCTTTCCTGACTTTGAATGTGCTTCTCTCGTAAGTGCTTTTAGACCTTTGCACTTGATGTGCCCAGATTTGAACACTTCCCATACCTTTCAGATCTCATGTCAGTCTTACTTTAGGTCTTTGCTGCTCTCTGGGATACATCAAGTCTCCTGTTATAAAATCTCATGGTGGGGAATTTCCCATATTTTTAGTAGCATTTATCTCTGTTTGCAATTATGTATTTGCATGGTTTTTGGATACTATTTGGTTCTCCAAATAAAATGTAAGTTCTGTGAGACAATTTCAGCATCTACAAAGGCCTGGAACAGCCCTGACAGCAGATGAGAAATATTAAATGACTGACTGAACTACATAACTAGGCAATTAAAAGACAATCTTTTATAACTAAAAGATTAGTTCTAAAGTGAGGTAAGTATACATGAAGTCACAGTGTTGGCAGGTTAAGCATTGTTACTTGGGAATACGTTTGTTATTGTAGCATTGGTTTCATGAGCCTCTAATTTTACTTAAAGACTAGTAGTGTTTTGAATTTTGAATTTCTGAGTACAGATTAAGAGCTTCCAGAAGTTGATTGTACTTTAATGACTTTTAGAGTCAAAACTTTCCCCTTTCCTCACATCTGGACAGTATTTGAAGTTCACAATTTACAAAAGATATAGTTGGTTGTGTACTTCTTGATGTTTACTATATGGAATGTATTTATTTATGTTATTTGCCTAAGGCATAAAATTTTTAAAATGCTACCAAAACTTACGAAGTCAAGAAATCATAGATGTTATAAAAGGTTTTTTCAGCTCTTATACAAGTTAGAAAAAATGAAGAAGATTAATGTGATATTGGAATTGTGCTTTTATGTTACTTTTTGGTATTTGGACCTTAATTTACTGTATGATTATCGTTAGCAAATTGAAATGTTCTTGTGAAAACTCTTAAGGCTGTAGTATTTTCTTGAAAATTGGTTTAGTACTGTTGTTTACATTGTAAAATTAGTGCTTTCAATAAGATTTTGGTTTCCATCTATCCTGAATTCTCCTTAGGAGTGCACAACTTCAAAAATAAAGAGGCACAGTCAGCAGAAAAAAGAGGTGGTCTGAGCATTTATGCGTTAAATATGCATGTTAATTAGGAAAAAAATTAGAAAAATATGAAAACAGATGTTACATAAATTATTGCAGTCCCAGGGCAGCAGTAACTTATACACTGACAGTAATTTTTATATGTGCATGTGTATGTCTATTTCTAGATTTCTCAATGTTTATGCAATTCCGTAGAGAATAACTAGAAGAATGGTATATCCTTTCAGTGAGACAGCAGTAAACATTCCTTCTGCATGTGGCTTGCTGAGCGAGTCTAGGCATAACATACACTTTTCCTGTACAGATAGCCTTCCGTGTTTCCTAATTCTTCCTGTAGCCTTCTTCCTTCCTTCTTGGTTTCTTTGATAGTATGTCAATGAGATCTTTTATTGGATTATGTCCTGTCGAAACAATAAAATGAATCATGATCCCAGCAGTGTAAGAAATGTAAAATTGACTGGGATGTAAAGTATGTGTTTAGAAACAAAGCAAATCACAACTACTGAGGACACTGATTGTAGTGTCACTTTTTCTTTGGTTACGGTTGTACTTTCTGAAGAAATAGCCATCATTCTCTGAACAGTATTGACACAGTAGTGTGACAATCTATACTAAGTGTTACATAAACACACATTTATCAAATATACATATATTGGAATAATTGAAAGATCCTTGAATGTCTTTCACTGTAAAGAGACATCCATAATATAAAAATGGTTTATATTTTTACAAGGGAATGATGAGAAATAGAGACATGCTTTATTTCAGCGCTGTGGCGATTTTTAGTTCAGCCGTGGAGAAAAACCATGTGACTATATTGCTGTCCAAGGAGCTGCTGACAATGTCTAGATATTTCCCATACATAGATTATATAATTTAGAAACATGTTGTTTGTAACTTTTCAGATGAGATTGAAAGTTAAAATAAGGAAATCCTCCATCAGAAGGTAATAAATCATTCTCTTTATCAAATGAACAAACAAAACATGAACTATATTCAGTATAGGGGCACAGGACAGTTTCCTTAAATCTCTCTGGAGATCAATGCTACATTCCTTGGTATTCTTCAGAAATCATACTTTGTTATTTGGTTGTAGTAGCATATGATGCTCAAATGTGTTTTAAGTAATTAATTTCTTTTGCATCCCAGTAGGTTTCAGATACATCTATTATCATAATGTTTTTCAGTTCTGTGTTTTTGATATATATTTTACCTAACTACTGTTGTCCTTTTGTACATATGCTGAGTCACCAGTAAGCTGTAACAGGTTATTGGGAGTAAAGTAAACTAATACAGAATGAAGTCTAGAAAAGAGTGATAATAATATATTTAGTAATTTATTATTATTTAGAGGTTCTTTACCTAAATTAGATATTTAAGAAATTCCATTTTTCTTGATTTTATGTAGAGATACATCTATGTCAGATATGATTTGTGAAAGTAGATTGAAGTATATTACTAAAGATGATAAATGTTTTTCTTTTTCTACAGTCAAAAAGGCTATGGAAATTAATTTTTAATTCACAAATAATATTTACTTGCCACACTGATACATCTGTATTCTAATTTTATGTTTTATTTATGCTTTGGAATTCATTTTCAGTGGAATTTTTTTCACGTTTGTTTGCAAATGTCAGATTCCCATTTTTTATTTTATGTGATTTTAATACTTGATATTAGTTCACTATTGTGTTAGTAGTGTATTTCTTATTTGAACACTTTTATTTCATTTCAGTGAAACAAAGTGATAACAGGTGATTTGTTTTATATTGAGGTGTTTTAGTTTTTTTTTTTTATTATAATGCTTTTTATTGTAGGCATTTTAAAGTGAGTTTCTTCTAGGAGCTAAAATAGATAATTGAAAGAGTGATTAAAGAATAAGCTAACATTTGTCCCCTAAGAGCCAAAAATATTATGACATAAACTTTTTCAGCTTGCTTTTTGCATTGATAGCTTTGGTTTAGGGTTCCTTTGCTTAGGGAGAGGATATTTGAAGCTATTTTATTTATTTATTTTTCTAGGTATTTGCTGTTTTTCCTGCAGCTCAGTTGAGGGATAACTCAGCTGATCTCTATTTCTTGATTCTTTAGTTCCGATTGGCCAACCAAGACTTTTATTTGGCAAACTCTGTCTTACAGAACCTGACATCATCTATGACCCATAGCAAGAGCACGCGTTTTCAAGTGTCAATTAGATTTGTGGATCAATAAGGTTTTCTTGAAAGGTAAGTGTATATTTATTCAAAACGTACATTTAAAAATTCAGTACTATCATCAGCTGTCTTAGTCTGTTTGGGCTTTTGTAACAAAAATCCTATAGACTGGGTGACTTATAAATAACAAAAATTTATTTTTCACTGTTTTGGAGGCTAGGAAGTCTAAGATCAAGGTGCCAGCAAATTTGGTGTCTGGTGAGGACCCACTGGTTCATAGATGGATGTCTTCTTGCTGTGTCTTCACTTGGTGGAAGGAATGAGAGAGCTCTCTAGGGTCTCTGTTTATAAGGGCACTAATCCCATTCATGAGGGCTCCGCCCTCATGACCTAATCGCTTCCCAAAGGCCTCACTCCTAATACCATTACACTTGGAATTAAGATTTCAGCATATGAGTTTTGGGGGGTGATAAACATTCATTTCATAATAATACCCTCACTATAGTTACAGTAATGTGTTTTATATATTTGTGTGCAAAAACTATGTGTGGGTGTGTATGTGTGTGTTTATATACTGCTGCCAGGTTTAGATTGCAGGCTCTTTAAGGGAATAATGTTGCCCTCTAGCACAGAGTTCCCTGATCAGTTTCTTTCCACTTATATATCTACCCACCAGCTTCCAATCTGTTCCTTTCCTTCATTGTTTTCCTTCTCTTTTAATTGAGGCTGCATGAGGGCTTGAAAAATACGTTCCCACCAGCAGACTTTTAGCACTTTTCTTACTGAATACTTTTTGTTCCATATTTCTTTTCCTTCCCTTTTCGTCTTTCCTTCTTTCCTACCTTCCTACCTTCTTACCTCCCAACATTCATTAAATATGTTGGAGTTGTGAAATTAGAATGATTGAACTTAGCATTGAAGGTATCTCAGATAGGTAGCATTCACATTTTTTTTTTAACCACAACCCATAGTAAGAAATAAATTTTATACTTATGAGCCATTTCCCACAGGTATAAATGCACAAATGAAACAAACAAGAGTTAAAACCATTCTACCCTGGCTACCTTGAATGTATGCTGTGCTCTATTCTATTATATTTTTTTGGGGGTATATTTAATATATGCTGATACCCATAATTAAATTTACTTCCCTATCCAATAGTGGATCACCTTTGCAATTTCTGAAGTCATACTTTAGATCACTTGTATGTTTGCTCATGACTGACTTGTAGGGAAAATAAATGGAATCAGGCAGTTTGTTTTCTGTTTCAGTCAAGCTGCCTTTTCTTCTGCCTCCCCTGTGCTTCTCATTTCTGTCGATTCATTACAAGTTATCAAATAACTTGGGGAAAGAACTGTGTAACTGCTGGGAAATACTAGAGCACTTATAGGTTCTTCTGTAGTAACAACATAGATACCAAAGGTCATATCTTAAAATATAAAAGGAAGATAAATCTTTGATAGAATCATTCCTTTGTAGTAAGGTATATATTTCTTTATTCTCTTCTTGTTCTTTCTGTCTGTGTAAATTGTATGTGCATGCTAATGCTCTCAAATCATTCTTGGTTTAAAACATTTTAAACTTCCAAAGCCTTTTATATCAGCTTAGAATAACAGATTTTTTCCCCAAAGTGGTCTATTCTAGTGCTCCTTCCCATTTCGTTTAACATTTTTATCCTTTTAATAAGTTGCAAACATTTAAAAATTGTGAATGTAATATATTTTATTAGAAAGTTTGGTATATACAGAAAAGTAAAAAGAAAATAAAAATTATCCCTAATCCAATGCAGCTAAAGCAGTTCTAAGAGGAAAGTTCATTGCCACAAACACCTATATTAAGAAAGGAAAGCTCAAGGTGTCCACTCTCATCACTTTTATTCAACATAGTTTTGGAAGTTCTAGCCTCAGCAGTCAGAGAAGAAAAAGAAATAAAAGGAATCCAAATTAGAAAGGAAGTAAAACTGTCACTGTTTGCAGATGACATGATCGTATACATAGGATATCCTAAAGACGCCACCAGAAAACTGCTAGAGCTCATCAGTGAATTTGGTAAAGTTGCAGGATACAAAATTAACGTACAGAAATCTGTTGCATTCCTGTACACTAACAATGAACTATCAGAGAGAGAAATTAAGGAAACAATCCCATTTACCATCTCATCAGAAAGAGTAAAATACCTAGGAACAAACCTAACTAAGGAGGTAAAAGACCTGTACTCAGAAAACTATCAATATGAGATACTAATGAAAGAAATTGACAGCTACACAAACAGATGGAAAGATGTATCATGTTCTTGGATTGGAAGAATTAATATTGTTAAATGACCATACTACCACAGGTGATCTTACAGATTCAGTGCAGTCCCTATCAAAATACCAGTGGCATTTTTCACAGAACTAGAACAAATAATTTTAAAATTGGTATGGAGACACCAAAGACCCCAAATAGCCAAAGCAAATTTGAGAAAGAAGCAACGAGCTGGAGGAATCATGTGTCCTGACTTTAGACTATACTACAAAGCTTTGATAATTAAGAAAGACTCATACATCAATGGAACAGAATAGAGAGCCCAGAAATAAACCCACGTACTTATGGTCAGTTAATCTACGACAAAGGAGGCACAAATGTACTATGGAGAAAAGAGAGTCTCTTCAATAAGCGGTACTGGGAAAACTGGACAGCAACATGTGAAAGAATGAAATTAGAACATTCTCTAATACCACATACAAAAATAAACTCAAAATGGATTAAAGACCTAAATGTAAGACTGGATATTGTAAAACTCCTAGAGGAAAACATAGGCAGAACACTCTGACATAAATTGCAGCAATATTTTTTTGGATCCATCTCCTAAAGCAAAGGAAAGAAAAGCAAAAATCAACATACAGGATCTAATTAAGCTTAAAAGTTTTTGCACAGCAAAGGAAGCCATCAACAAAATGAAAAGACAACTTACTGAATGGGAGAAGATATTTGCAAATGACATGACCAATAATGGGTTAATATCCAACATATATACATAGCTCATACAACTCAACATCAAAAAAACAACCTGATTAGATAATGGGCAGATGAACTGAATAGACATTTTTCCAAAGAGGAAATGCAGATGGCCAACAGGCACATGAAAAGATGCTCAACATCACTAATAATCAGGGAAATGCAAATCAAAACCACAATAAGGTATCATTTCGCACCTGTCAGAATGGCTGTCATCAAAAAGAATACAAATAACAAATGTTGGCGAAGATGTGGAGGAAAGGGAACCCTTGTACACTGTTGGTGAGAATGTAAATTTGTGCGAACACTGTGGAAAACAGTTTGGAGGTTTCTCAAAAAATTAAAAAAAAGAACTATCACATGGCTCAGCAGTTCCACTCCTGGGTGTGTATTTAAACAAAACAAAAACACTATATCAAAAAGATACATGCACCGAGTGTTCATTGCAACATTATTTACACTTGCCAGGGTATGGAAGCAACTCAAGTGTCCCTCAACAGATGAATGGATAAAGAAGATATTTTGTGTGTGTACACACACACACACACACACACACACTGGAATACTACTTAAAAAATGATAAAATTTGCCATTTGCAGCAACATGGATGGACTTGGAGGGCATTATGCTAAGTGAAATAAGTCAGAGAAAGACAAATATTGTTAGGCACTACTTACATGTGGAATCTAAAAAATACAACAAAATTAGTGAATAAAACAAAAAAGAAGCAGACTCACAGATATAAAGAACAAACTAGTGTTTACCGGCTGGGAGAGGGAAGGGAGAAGGGGCAATATAGGGGTGGGGATAAAAAGGATTATTATAGGATTATATGAAATCATGTGTGTTAAACTTTTGAAAATTGTAAAGCACTATAAAAACTGAGGAACCTTTCATTCAATGGAAAAAAGAAAAAACACACACTTAAAAAAAAGGAAAAGAAAGCCTAAGTAAATAACCTAAAATTACATCTCAAGAAATGAAAAAAGAACAAACTAAGCATAAAATTAGTGGAAGAATAGAACAAAACAAAAAGCACAAATAAATGAAGTAGAGATTAAAATAACAGCAGAAAATATCAAAGAAACCAAAGCTATTTTTTTTGAAAAACATAAAGTAGACAAAACTTTAGCTAGATAGCCAAAGGGCAGGGTGGAAAAAAACTGACACCACTGAAATACAGAGGTTCATAAGAAACTGCTGTGAAGTTATTCACCAACAAATTGGACAACCTAGAAGAAATGGTTGAATTTCTAGAAATATACGACCTATCAGTCATGAAGAAAGAGAAAATCTGAATAGTCCAATAGTAAGGAGATAGAATCAGTAATCCAAAACTTCCCAGCAAAGTCCTGTACCAGATGGCTTCACTGGTGAATTCTACCAAACATTTAAAGTAGAATTAATGTCAAACCTTCTCAAACTCCCCCCAAAAATAGAAGAGGAGGGAACACGTCTGTTTTATCAGGCGAGCATTACCCTGATACCAAAACCAGGCATGGACACTACAAGAAAAGAAAATTACACACCAGTATTCCTGATGAACACAGATGCAGAAATCCTCAACAAACTATATTGAACCAAATTCAACAGCACATTAAAAGGATCACACACCATGATCAAGTGGGATTTTTTCCAGGGATACAAGTATGGTTCATTATCCACAAATCAATGTGATACACCACATTGATAAAACAAAGGATAAAAAGCATGTGATCATCTCAGTAGATGCAGAAAGAGCATTTGACAAAATTCAACATCATGGTATGAACTTTCAACAAACTGGGTATAGAGGGAATATATTAATAAAGACCACATATGAGAAACCCATAGCTAGCATCATACTTTATGGTGACAAGCTGAAAGCTTTTTCTCTAAGATCAGGAATATGACAAGAATGCCCAAACTTGTTGCCCCGCCCCCAACAAGAACCTGAGTGTTATTTTCTTGGGCTATTTATCAGGGTTGTTTTTTGCAGTGAGTAACCATGAGAAACAAGATGGTGTTTCCCATATTCAAAGAAGCAATCTCACCAATTTTATTTGACATAGTCCTGGAAGTTCCAGCCAAAGC